GTCTTTTACCTATTAGGGCTCGGGTATTCTACAGTGGCGTCGGCTCAGGGCGCAGACATGTTGGACCACCTGGCCGCAGCTAATCCTGTGTCTCTCTGCGATCCAATGGCATGCGGGAAAGGAAGGCAGCCAACCAGAGAAGGACACGACTGAGGTGCAGTATAGAATGGTCGGCGTGGACTTGGATGGGAGGCGCCTGACGTGTAGCTCTGGCTTCTGATTGGTCAATAAAGCCTGTTCTGCTGTACCAGTCTTTTTCCTATTAGCGTTCGGGTATTCTACAGTAACCACGTACATGGGTGCAGACGTATTGGGCCATGCTGGTCTCAGCCAATCCTCTGTGCCTTGTGTTCCATTATCATGCGAGTTTCGACGCAACCAGAAAGGCGCACTAGGATTGATGGCTAGTGCTTATTGAATAAAGCCTTTTTCTGACTAGTTTACTTCAAACCTATGCCTATGTATGCTACAGCCGCAACGAGAAGCTATAATGTCCCAAGAAACGAATGAAAGTTCATAATAAAAGAGGTCTTTAAAAATTTAGCAGCATGAAACTGCAGAAAGTAGGAAATTAAAATCATATTTGCATGCAAAAAATTAATCTAAATAGGTGCACTCGAATCCATTACTTCATCACGAAAATCCAATTTCGAGAACCAAAGAATCAAGAAAACGTGTTAATTCATCTCATCTAGTTAATTTTAATACTACCAAGAAAACTTGAAATGAGTCAGGTTCGTCGCGCAAGCGGACGCTACATCCCTCCAACTCGCCTCTCGTGATGGCTCAATCAGGCTCAAAAGGCTCTTTTCTCAACATTTCACAAATGATTGCATGTGTAGGGCAGCAAATCATTGGAGGGCGCCGTGTTCCCGATTCCCTCAATGGGACGCGCAGTCTCATGCACTTTCCCCCAGGATCACGCACTCCTGCGGCGAAAGGGTTCGTTCGCAATAGCTTCTACACCGGCCTCACACCCTACGAGTTCTTCTTTCACGCAATGAGTGGACGCGAGGGCCTCACTGACACTGCCGTCAAAACCGCAGATACGGGTTACATGCAGCGTCGACTTGTCAAGGTACCTCTTAGCTTATTAATTACGGAAATTTCATTTTTGCTTATCATGCATTCGTGTCATATTTAACTTCCGAGCTTCCTACACGTCCTAGGGGTTTTTTTTACCTTACAGCGTCCCACAGCATCCTCCTTTTACGCTCACAGCTTATGCGAGGAACAAGGAGCTCTTAAACGGTTGATTTTTACCATTTGGTCGGAACATTTCATGAACCATAATGCGCAATAACTGGTAGTGTAAGTCCAAGTAAAACCAAGGAAATGGATGAAAGATTATTTGAACGAAATGAAAGCCACCTCATTACCTTGAGGCCTTCAACTGAGATATTCGTCTTACATCAATTTCTTGTGGTGCGCGTTTTCTCAAAGCCCTAATAGTAAAATACTGCAACGTCGGATACAAAATGTGAAAAATCGCCAAATACTTAGTCTTGTCAAAAGTTTTCGTTGATTACTGTTCAAAACACAAGAGAAACTCAAAGTTCGGATTGCAAAGATCCAAGGGAACACGGCGATTCGTGCCTTCCTATTTGATTTTCCGGAAATCACAACTTGGCACTTTAGTCAATTGAGAGCGATAATGCAGCATGTTTTGCAAACTCACGTACGACCAAATGCGTATTGGTGGGGTTGCTTGTGCAATGTTTCATTCATCTTGTCAAGCATCGTGAATGCCCATAAGATGGCGGTTTTTGTCTTTTGGATAAATTGGATCGGTTTGAAAAAACAAACACTTAAAGTGGTGAGTGTCGGTGTCAGCGAAATCTACGGGTCTGATTTGATGCCTCTCACCTCAGGTCCAATAATAGTCGCAGGTCCTAAGAAGCTTCCTCGCGCTTCAGAGTGAGAATGCGTGGAGAAGGTTTTGATTCGCCCTTACTACAGAATCATAGTGTTTTCATGTTTTGTTCGTGTTCGGAATGCGAATTCACGCACCAAATGGTGTTCTTTGGTGTCGTCTCAATTTTCGCATCAAATAAGTGAGGTCGACACCACACCTATTTAAGAAGGTTTATTCGCTGATTTTGGAATGTCGAAATATTCGCTTTTGTTTAATACAAGACATGATGGAACCTCATGTGCTCTTGTTTTTAAGCCTTTCACTGATGGTTCTTAAGTCAACTAAGCCCGGTTTTTGTTATCTTTTGAAAGTAATGCCCGAGGTGTACATTTGCCTTCTTGAAGTATCAAGCCATTTTTGGATGATGTCTTCGCATGCAAAACTAACACACAATTAGACAAGTTCTAAGGATTGAACTGTGGTGTATTTTGTCAAATTTAAATTACTAGCATTAACTCAAAATTTGTGCACATAGCACGTGTATACGAAACTTCGGTTCCCGTTATAAAATAGACACTGCGATCGGTCGCTTGGGAAGAACGAAGCAGTTCGGAACGTTATCAAACGTAAATGTGTTATCCTAAAGGTAGCCATGAGTTAGTAAAACAAACAGGAACGTGTTGAAATGGAGTCGTGCCTACTGGGTGTTAAAATCCAAAAAGAGCGCTCAGCGACCGGATATTAACGGTAGAACAACAGGAGCGGATCATAATATTACGGCAAACGTTACAGATAAGGCGATCTGAGGACGGCAGTAAATCACCCCTCCAGTATTCTGACCCAAGGCAGAAGAAGGTGTTTTCCTAATACTAAAAATTTGATTGCAAGTCCTATTAACTAACATGTTAACTATCTATTGTATTAGTTCCTGGAAGACCTAATTGTTGCTTATGATGGAACAGTGCGTGATAGCCGTGGAGACATTGTCCAGTTTCGCTACGGATCTGATAGCCTTGATCCTTGTGAAATGGAAGTGGAGAATTTTCCCGCCGACCTCGGACGAGAATTAGCCAATATTAAGGTAAGTCAAATTATTTGCTTTAACCTTCTCGTCAGTTAAGAATCGCCCGTGTTGATCCTGCTTCTTCAATTTTCTTCATGTGTTCTAGTCGAGAGTTTTTTTTGAAAATCCCTTAAGGGTATCTCTCCGTGCCGTTCAGAGCCATCAATGACAGCAGAAGAAGTTGAAGTTGCAATTAGTGCTGCTCTTCGACTCCCCGCTTTCAGAGACGCCGATGGTGTTTTATCTTCGAATATCAAGTAAGTTTGTCGCTTCTTCACGAGTCAAATGGTTCAGGCTGAGACAATATAAAAATGGCAACGACATTTTGTTGAATATCCCAAGCTGCTAATCAACGAACAATCACCAGTGATTTAAACGCCACCGAAATCGGCAATTACTGAGGTAGAAATCATATTGCGATTTCCAAACTTATCTCTTAACTTTGTTCACAAGCCGAAATTGATGTCTAGCTGAGTTCTAAGCTTCAATTGGGGCACCAATGATTTCGATATTCAAGTCACAAGTTCGATTATTTGTGCCTCAAATGTCACTAATTGCTTGACGTAGCCGTAACAAGGAGATTAGGCAATGTCCAGGCGTTTGTATCAATGAATGTAATCGGACGCTAGTGCTGCCAAGCACAATACCGATGCTGCGATAAAATGTCAAACGACCGAATTATATCCAATCAGCTAACCCTGGTTGTTAATGCTGAAGCAATTTGTAAGCGGCCTATCTACTGTAATGTAGATCCTTCTTCTCCGCAACCGTTTTACCAAGAATGCGGTCCGCCTATCGTTTGTTGCCGTCTGGGACCAGTGGTGGTGTGAAGATGGAGCCAGAGCGTCTGACACGCACCCAGTTACGTCTATTTCTGATGCGCGTGAAGAAGAAGTACGAGAAGGCGCTAATTGAACCGGGTACCGCTGTGGGCGCTCTTTGCGGTCAGTCTATCGGTGAACCCGCCACCCAAATGACCCTTAAAACTTTTCATTTTGCTGGTGTCGCCAGTATGAACATCACCCAGGTGAGCAGCAATGCGACGGTTGTTTGACGCGAAAGTGGTAGGTGGTGTTGCTGGATGTCTGCTTCAATTAAATATGCCACGTCGTAATTGCGTAGCAAATAATTTTGTCGAGCAGCACAACGCGTTAGTCGACCGAAGGTGTCTGTTCATGTGTGTCTAAAATTGCTGCCTCTAATTCCGTTCTTTTTCCGTTTTGGCCCTGTGACCTACTCCTTTTACAGTATTGTTGAATTATTGTGTATCAAAAAAAACATGAAAGACACACCTGGAAGCGTAAGTGTCGAGAGTTAGGAATTTTCGTTGGTTACAATTTAAATAGCACGACTTGGGTCGATTTTCAGAAGAACGCTATGGGTCAGTGGCGTATAGATTAGTCTGAGCACATTTAAATGATTACTTCATGAGGCACTCTTTGCCTGCCCAATAACCCTGTGGTAATTTGGTAATTTTGGCCGGATTCCAGGGTGTACCGCGTATGCGAGAGATAGTAAACGCTGTTGCCAAAATCAAGACGCCTTTGGTTGCTGTGACACTTACCGACCCCTCGTCTGCGGAGCTGGCCCGTCGGGTAAAGCTATCAATAGAGCCGACCCGATTGGCGGATATCTCGCTGCGCTTGCGCCAGTGCCTTTCGCCTGACGAAGTCTTTGTCAGTGTGGAGTTGGACACCAAACGGATGGCTCGACGCGAAATCACCCCCGCACAGGTGGCGAACGCCGTGCGCAATGCGAATCTGGGCACAAAGCGCCTCAAATTGTCGCGTGTCACCTTCTCCGAAACGCACGTGAACGTCTTCCCAACTGATCTGAATCGACTCGAAATCCTTATCCAAACACTCGAGGGCGTTGTTGTTAAGGGCATTCCTGATGTCGCTCGAGTCGTTATCCAGGAGGATAAACAAGGGCACCATAATATCTTTGTAGAAGGTGCAAAATTAAGGGAGGTGAGCCAATGTTTCGCTTTAAACTAACAGCAGCTTCGCGGAGTATTTAAACAGCTGTAGGTGGTATTGCAAACCAGGACAGTTACAGAATTAGAGGACGAGTAAGGGATGTTTCAGTTGTTAATGTTTGTAATGTAGTTGTAGCCCGACAAGTCAGTTAACATTTTGTTTATTTTATTGGATGCCTTTGACGATCAATAGTCGCACTTGGGGATACATTGACGTAATTATTTGCATTATGATATCGCCGGGTTATTGAATATGTCAGATCTAGTTAGTTGGTCATCGGTCACATGAAGTTGTTTCGTTGATTGAAATTACAAAATCATAGCTACGTGATAGCGAACCTAGAATACGATGAATGCAGGTAGTTGTTGGCCTGGTCGAATGATTACACAGTGATTGGTGAGTTAAGCCATCTTGCGTGCATTTATTCCAAACAGGTGATGTGTGTTCGTGGTGTGGTTCCGGAGGCGACGCGTAGCAACAACATCCTCGAAGTGGAGCGTTGTCTAGGTGTAGAAGCTGCTCGACGAGCGGTCATGGACGAACTCCTAACGGTAATGGAAGGACATGGGGTCGAGGTTAATATACGCCACGTTATGCTTCTGGCAGACCTCATGACGAATAGGGTGAGCTTACATTTCACAATGCACTCGATAAATAAGCTCGTATTAGATATTGCCACAGGACACGTGCTAAGCAAATTGTAGAATATTCGAACCATTAACGTTTTCGATTTTGATGTCAAACGTACGCCAAGTTGAAGCAATGTACCTGCCACACCGGGTGGTAATAAGCAATGTGTGATTGTTAGGATTATTTCATTTCGGCATCAAAAAGTCCATTTGAAGTTAATCGACCGCGTATCCCAGGCACGAAAACATGCATTGTAGTGTACATTTGCTGGTAAGAAGTCAACTGGGTTTTCGTATGGTGATTAGATGCATCTATCAACGTCGGAGCTCAGCTTTTGCCCTAGAATGGCTTCCATCGACCACGTCGTTAAAAGCAACCTAGAAATACGATTATGTAAATAGCAGTGTTAACCCCACTTGGTGCTGCATGAATTTGCTCAATTTGACCACTAACCTCATGGGCACATGCAGGTGAGTCCTGATAGAAGGTCCTTCTGGAATAGAAAAAACAACAAAACCATGTAAAAGTCCGAAGTTTCCAGCTTCGACACAAGGGGTTGTGAATCGCACACTTGATGATGTAAAGCATCATATGCGGACAACTTGCTGCCTGTGGCAATAGTGCTACGGAATTCTAAACAGCCTGGTGTGTCACCTTCTGTAATAAAGAAGAGTTACTTGTATTGCGTATGTTTCAGGGCGAAGTTTACGGCTATCAACGCAGCGGCATGGCAAAGGCGAAGAACAGCGTGCTCTGTCTTGCTTCGGTAATTTGCTGTGTCACTATAACCATTCAAATACATAGGGATGCAAATTGAAGCACGACTGCATTAATGCTCAATGCCTTATTGAAATTGGTGCTAGTTGACGGTGAAGCCGCTAATGTATCGATCTGAATTATTTTTTTTTACAGTTCGAGCGCACTGGAGATCACTTGTTCGAGGCAGCGTACCATGCCCAAGACGACACATTAGCAGGCAAGTTAGAGCCTTTGTGTTGTATTCTTTTGTTTGTCAGTATTACATATTTTTTGCTCAAACTGTGGCACTTGCAGACGCGCTTTGTTTACGTGCCCATGAGGTACCCCATTTTAAAAGGCATGTGCTTTTTTATTCGCACCTTAGGCGTGACCGAAAGTATCATCGTCGGTAATTCAACGCGCATCGGAACAGGAACATTTGATTTGCTTGGAAAATGATATCCTTTTTGCAGGTTTCGAAGTTACCAAGCAGGACATCTAGTTAGGGGGGTTATTAAGTTCCGTTGAGTTAGTAACACAAACTAGGTTTGTAGGATTTTTGGATTTTGCTCATAATCTGTGAGTGTGTTTTGTGTGTACAGTTGCTAATCATGAGGGAATATTAGGCATTGTATTTTGCACCAGCCACTTCACCACATTTTGTTGCAATTTGGGGTATCGGCTTATTCATTAAGAGTTATTTGGCGGTCAATTTAATTAATATGGGCGTCTTTTATGTGCGACACCAGTCACCACGTAAGCAACTACAGTGTTTATCGTTTTGGGTACAAAAGGCGCCAGCCTAATCATTCCCAAGGAAATATCCAAGTAAATTGGTTGTGCGTGGTTTCTAGACTCGGTAAAACGTTGAATATCATAATTGGCAATGTTGAAGGGGAGACAGCAGCGTGGCAGTGTGATGACTTTAAAAAATCAGTTACTAATTGTAAGCAAAGTTGCACATAAAATGCATCAAAAAACACTAGCAATCAGCTTGTGTTCAATTGGAAGTTGGCTGTGCAATAGTCCACCTAATAGTGAGTAGTCCTTACTGGCGTTAAACAGAGAAGTTATTCATGCCTACACGACATTGTAAAAGTTATAGAACCTCAAAACATTTGTTGTCTTTGGATTTCCCTTGTTTCCTTAACCAAAACAAATACGTGGCAACCGAAGATGGAGCTCACTACGAAGTCGACGCTGATGGATGCGGTTTGACGATGCGTGGGAGCGGTGTTTCATCGCGCTGCAATATGCCTTACCAATGGACCCATCCGACCTTGAGTGTATCATCCTGAAACAGAAGTGTAAAGTCTTGAATAAATAATGGCACAACTTGTAAACTTGTTACTGGTTTTGAGCGCGCATTACTGGTTTAACGCTAATGGATTCAGGACAGTGTGAGAAATTTGTAGCCTCTAAAGATTTAAGGCACAAAATCACCACATATCGAATTTTGCCTAATTTCAACAAATTGGGGTTGTTAAGGATAATTGCTGTCGTAGCATTCTGGTTGGTTAGTGAGACCTGGATAAAGGCAGTTAAGTCTACATCTCGCTAATTATGAGGCGGGCGTAACGTAAAGTAACGAAATATTCCAAATAAGGTTCCAGGTACCACGGATTTCGACTCGAGATCGAGAGTTCATACCACAGTGATGAGCGCTGACTAGCTACTTAGGCTAAATGGATCAAGAGTAAAGTAAAGATAGGGAAGGGTAGGAAATCAGTTGTGACGAGCGATTGGCCGAAAGTAAGCCGTGTATAAAGTGAATTGAATTACAGGGTCGGAAACAGTAGAATGAGTATGACAACGAAGTGATCGATAGCGGTGTAGGACAAATGTGTCGTGTAGGTGAGCTGTAAACAATCATAAAGCGGACCTCGAATAAATAAAAAACGAATACGTGAACTTGTCATTGTTTACTCTACTATTGATTGGAGCGAGACAATCACAACGGTTGTAATAAGAATTTTATGTTGGGGATAAAGTTTTTTGTCGTTCCTGGGTTTTGGAACGACTAAGCTAAAATCGGGTTTTGACATTGGTTAAATATGTTTGCTTGCAAACCTCGACAGACTTCAAGTGACGTCAACGGCTGAGATTTCATGGCAAAGTTGGCCTCATCTGTAACAGAGTCGCAATCGAAGAAATCAAATAATCTATCATCAGTCAGGGTAAGTGAGTGGAAACGGCATATGCCATTGTCTTTAAGCTGAGTTCATTGTGTAAGGTCCTACAACTGCTACCTTCATTTTGAGTACGTGCAACATTACTGGGAAAAAAGTGCTGCTATTTTGCACTTATGCTACTAAAAGACCATTGGCAAGATGTGGACGATAAAAGGTTGCGCGAATTTAGGAAGAAATGCTTCTCTATATGGCTGTCGTTGATGCTTGAAGATACCAAGTAATTGCAGCTACAACTCTGGAATTAATTAATGCTTCGCATGAGCGTGCGTAATAAATACCTTCGAAACGAATCACTATATGGGGAAGCAATATAACTGCTGGCTTCCCTTACGAAGTGAAATAATCAGATGTTTGTTTGCATCGTTTGTTGCTGCGTTCTTGATTGGTTTTTGATCATGGCCTGCGTCGGTCTGGCCCTTTTTCAAGTACTTATTGTTATTCTAGTCCTATGATGGGTCTGACTTCAGCTTATGAAAAGTTGTTTAACTTTGGTGACCCTACTCTGGTCTCCTGGTCGTTAGTATTTGCATGTGTGTAGAGTCTACAGGTCAAACGACTGTATTTGACTATTACTCTACTTTGGTTAAGTCCGGTCGTTTGCTGGTTCGCATTCTTGATAGCACAAAAGTTTATAAGAAAATTACTGTATATACGATGATTAAGGTCAACGTCGAATCCTTTGGTCATATTTTGTTTGCAAACTGGGCTTGGCCTCCGCTTTTAGCCTTTCTTTTCAGGCTTGTCCGTCTACACACTGTAATTAATGACGAGCTTTTGCTGTGGTGCACTGTTTTATAGTCTGTTAGTTTCATAAATTAGCTTTATTTAGTTTGCAGACTTTACTATTTTTTTATAACTACGCAGTGAAATTTTGACAGTTTTTACTAATTCAGTAATTTCTCCGGATGTTGCGCAAATTGTTGTGTTTAACATCGTGTTATTGTCCACGCATGACTTTTTATGTGATAAAACTATTTAGATAAAAATGTCTACTCGTTGCAGCGTAATTCCTTATCTTTCAGTGTGTATTCATTAAAAGAATTCGGGAAAAAAATAATGGATTGATATATAGGGATTCAACTAGGGCAATGGAAATTTGTCATTTATTTAACTCTGGGCTTGAAGAATCGTTCCCATTAATTTTATAAATTTCAGCGGCTAAAATGCGGAAAAATATAGTGGCTATGTAATGATCTATTTACTATGACTCAGGACATGATTTCTAGTGATGCTTTTTTACTTTAAGTACATTTTCAAATTTAATTAATTATATTTGCTTGCTTATATCACGTTGTGTGCTTCATACGGTCTAAAATTCCCTCTCTAAAATTTGTCTTTGTTGCAGAAAATATGAATTTGGCAAATGACCGACTTTTACTGGATGGTGCTGCATTCTGCGATTGTATCTCAACCTAGCAGTTAAGCAATGCAACCTTTTTTATGCCAGGCGTTTCCTTGGGTAATAATTAATCAAAGATTTGTGATGTTTATCTTATTCCTGTTTCTTTGATAATTTTTTCTGGCATAAAAATGTTATTTAATGTGAGAGTTGTGTTGGCATTTGTAAAAAAACGTGGAAGAATTTTTGAACACTTTGAAAATTTGATGCAAGTATCATCTCGGATTCGCGTGTTTATCGGAATATTTTTTGTCTTTCATTGAGAAAAATGCAATATTTTTCTACTTAAGACAGTTACTTTATTGCTACTGAATTGGCGTTTTTCTTTAGAAAAGTTGTGCAAGCATCTAAAAAAGGTCTGCAGTCGCAATGCCATTTGCTGTCTCATTTATTTTACTGAGGTAAACCAGTAATGACCTGAGCCTGCAAGATTTCAACGATTTTGGGTGTGAGGGTGCCTTAATTTTTCAGCATTTTTAATATCGGGTTCGTTTCTTATTTATCTAGCAATCTATTTGTTGCTCTTAATTTGCAGTGATTTCATGATGGAGCGTAGTCCTGCGTACATGGATGTTTACCCTCTATGATTCTCTCAATGTCTTTGAATTTATGTTACTACAACTGTTTTTAGATACTTTTCTGCTTTACGGCCGTGGTTCATAGACATAAGAATGGCCCATTATTTGTAACTGTGTTCTGTTTATTGGCAGGTTTTATAAATGTTGAAAATATTCACCTGTAGAATGTTGATTAACCCATTTTTGTGCATTTAGTTGCTGAATGCAGATGTTGAGTTTAAGTAAAGCAAGAAATTACTTGCATTCTCCTAGCATATTTAGCGTGTTTTATATTCCGGTTTTTAGTATAATGATTTAATTTGCCCCGTTTTGATCACAAGATTTATGAACTTGTATTTTACTGGTTTTGGTTGTCGTTTGGTAATTAGCCGTTTGGAGTTTGACCTCCATTTCGACCTTTTATACTATTAGTAATCACTGATTTTGATTAAAAGTGATCGTTACTTGTCGACATGTTAAGTATAGGAAGTACAAATCAGTTTTGAAGCCGTTCCTTCGATGTATTTGCATAGAACTTATCCGGTCAAGAAACCCCATTCGAATTGTTCACATAATTTGAATGCTAGTAGTTGTGTACGCCGACTTTATTTATGTGACTTGTTGCTTTGTGGTAAGTCAAATTATTTTTTGAACTGCTTATCGTTGCCAATGGCAGGGTAAATCAACAAAGGAATTTAGTCCAAAATGCTGGTGATCAAAGTGGAGCCAGCCTAAAAGCGATCACAAGTGCTAGTGCTCTACGAAGGTGCTAATGCATCTTCCCGATGTGATTGTACTACGAGCATCTCCAACCAACCTATACTGTGAAATTCGCTCTATTTTGACCACTTGTAGCCAGAATAATAGGAGGAAAAGTCATAATTGGTCGAAAAATGGAACGTCGTGTTAACCACAACAGAGAGCTCATTTTTGGTTGAAGTCGAGCAGCAAAATACGTATTTTGTATGTTTTGGTAACACTAGTATGCAGCCTAAGTGGCGTGCAAGTAAAAAAGAGCTCATTTGTATAATTTTAGAACACTCGTAGAGGTGTTCAAGACCCTTTAAGACCTTTACTTACTAAGTTTTCCGAAATATTTCTTCTGTCTCTAAGCATTAAAAATCCTGTTTGAATCATACATAGTATTGTTTTACCCTTTTGATGAAGACCCTTGTTTTCCTGTAATGTTAGCAAAAGATAAATCAATTAAATGAATCTAACAATTCTGCCATACAGTTAGCTTTAACTCTGCTTGTAAACTTGCTTTATCTATCTTTGTATAACGCTTCTGTCATTTTGATGCTTTTTAGTGTTTTTTGCTTGCGATATCTAGGTTTTGGCTAAATTCCAACATGATCTTGAAGGTTACTAAAGGAAGTGGACAGTGATTACGTCAACGTGTTTATCAAATAACGTGTTGTTAGCCTTACAATCAAGTTACTAGTTATCCTTTGGATCACTTTTATCGAAAACTCATTCTGTAAATTTGATCAATTTTTGCGTCTTTGTCTCCATATGGTATAAATTTTACTAATAATCCAGTTAGTTTAGCCCTTCTATCTACATTAACGTCGTCGCTACCTCTTCAAGCGTAACGAAATCCCCATTAGAGTAAAAGCTGAGCTCCGACGTTGAAAGATGCATCTAATTAACATACGAGAATCCCACTTGACTTCTTACCAGTAAATGTACACTACAATGCATATTTGCGTTCCTTGGATACGTGGTCGATCGACTTCAAATGGGCATTTTGATGTCGAAATAAAGTAATCTTAACAGTCACACCTTAATACCCCTGGTGTGGCGGATGCATTACTTCAATTTGGCCTACTCTTGCCAGTAAAATCTGCAACGTGGAACGAAAACTTTCATGGTTCGACGCTTGTCCCAGGCATTTGCATTGAATTCTGGTGTGTGGAAGAAATTCTGTTTGTGGCCTGCTTGCTTGTACTTGTTCTTCCCTTCCCGTAAACTTTGTTGTGGAAGCTTTATCTGAACCATTATTATCGCTCCATCTTGTGTAATCAACGCTGTCATTTTGGAAAGATGGGTTTGAATATTCCATGGTAATGTAAACTTTAATTGTTTTTTCTCTCATTTTTTGTTGTTTCAGTACTGAATATTAAGCCCATCAAAGTAATAAATTACATTCGTCTCCTCTCATCGATTTTGGACATGGTGTAATGCTCCTATTGGAGAATCCAAAGCCAGGTTCTCCTATGTATCCCTATTCATCTACAACGCCCTCTAACGCTTCCGTTGTCGTATCTGGTTCTGGTACCTCAAACACGATGCTTCTCCCCGGTCAACCCCAAACACCTTCTCCAATGATCTATCCCCAACAGTCTTACGCCGCCGCTGTTCCCCAAAAGTCTAATGTCGGAATTCTTCACAACGGCAGTAGCAACACCAATAACGGTGCAATGACAAATATGATGTCTCATTCAATGATGCAGGCGTCACCATCTCAACAACCGTGTAGCAACACTGGGAGTTTTTACTGCTGGCCACCGCCTCCCTCTGCAGCGGCGCCTGTTTCAAGCGTTGTCTCTTCTCGGTTGCCCCACGTCTCACAAAGAAGGAGTGTCGGAGCAGGATATAGGATTTCTTCGCAAAACTCTCCCTCAGACTGTTCCCATGCTCAATACTTCTTTCGCCAGCAGCAGCCAACGCACAAATCACCCAGTGATATTAGTGGTTATTCAAGTGTAACTACTAGACCTCCTGGAAGTGCTAATTCAGGTAGTAACTGGAAAGAACGTCCTCATGTTGGAAAGTATAGCCTAATCCGCACCATTGGGAAGGGCAACTTCGCCAAAGTCAAACTGGCCCAGCACGTAACAACAGGCATGGAGGTGAGTTCCCATTAATTTTAAAAATAATGGTTGGCTGAATCAATGATTACCATACCTACTGGGAAGACAACTACTAGGCTTATCGTGCGAATGTGAACGTGGGTTTACTTGCGCAATCACCTTCGCGTACCCTTTCCTTTTCCTGTTCTCTCTCACTCTGGCATCATATGCAGATTTGGCATGATTTCGGCAACTGCGCACTGTATGCGAACTTTTTTCGGAATTGCTGGCGTGCGGTTAATAGGACTAACAGCCACAATACCTCATCATAAAATTATCTTCACATTTATTCCTGTGGTCCGCTGCTTTGTCTTTTGGAATAAGCTTCAGTCCAAACCCTTCAAATACCTAGCTATATTCTAACATGAAGTTTAGTATATTTATTTTCATACAAGTACAAGTACTAGAGATTCCGTTAACTCCTTATTTTGAATCTGTGCTTTTTTCTCAGAATTTATTTTAAAACCTTTAGTACTGGGTTTTTAGAAAAGCCTAGTGTTCCAGTTTGGATGAAATCTGTAGAACTCCTCGCCTAGCCATCGCCATTTTATGTTTTGAAGGCTACTTTATTAAGTTTCATTCAAATCACCTGCCAACAAAATTTTCAGTTGTCCCTTAAAGTTTTCCATGAGTGTTTTGGAAGTAATCGCAACCTTTACCATTGAAGAGTGGTTGTTTTTTTTTCTATCTCTTTCTGATTATGTGGACTACCTTACGCACGAAAATATTGCGGCTCCGTCTAATATTTATTTTGAAATTTGACTTTATTTCATCACCACAGGGTATACTATCATCCCCAGCCTCCTTTTTCGAACAATAAGTTGCAACAAGATTTGCAGTTTAAATGAATGAAGTTGAAGTGGGGGTTTCATAGAGTTTTGCTTGAATGCTCTGTTTCTCTCAACTACGCTATATAACATGAAGCAAGCAAAATATCTTGACTTTAAGTGGGAAGCGCATTGCTTTACCACAGTAAAGCATGTCGAATTTCTTGGCTGTTTTAATTATGGATTTTGAACAAGCAATTGTTTAACAGTTTTTTGTCTTGATGAAGCGAGTAGTTAGTATCATTTCCGATGTAATCGTGTCCGGGATTGGTATGGTGTTTTTCTAAGCAAACGATATCTATACGGACTTATGGTTCTTTTATCAAAATAACAAGATAGAACTCTTAGTAATTTTTTATACCAATACCCTAACATCCGACCATGCTTTGGTTTTAACCTGAATAGTTGGTGATTTTCTGTCTCACGTAAGTGAATGTTTCTTTTGTACGATGTTGTAGGTGCCGCAATTCATTATCCATTTACTCAAGCCTTGTTTTTATTTGCAGCCTTAAAATTGGCGCACTATTTTTGTGTGCTGCACAAACGCAGGTTTAGCATCGACATAGTAGAAGAAACTGCGTAATTTATGGCGCAAATTAAAATACTATTCAAGCTTGAGCACCCATCTTTTCCACAAAAATCAAGTCGCATTCCTTGTCAGTTCTAATGTGGCCGTTTCATGGTCATAGCACGCTCCTATAAGCCCTTGAATGGTGGACATATCTGAGTGTTTGCTGCGTCTTTTCCAGGCATTAAGTCGTGTTTTAATACCTCCCTAGTGTGTGGTTATCTTTCTGAAACTGTGCTTTGTGTAATATTGTGTAAATCGGAATCCCTTCCCGCATTAATTTTCCTCACGACTAAGTCTTTTTCTCTGATTTTTGACCATTTTCATTCAAAGTCAAATCACCTGGGTAAGAATTAACTTCTCTATTAACAAATTTCTGCTGTCGTTTTTATTTTCCTATTAATCGAGTGTGGAATGGAGAGTTTCAAGTCCCGGTACGGTTCGTCTTTTATTTTAAGCATATGCGTCTACTCTCTCGTTATGGCCTACCCCCACGACTTGGTGACTAATACTTTTGATGTCGCCCTGTAAAAGAATTCCTGCCAATGTGTTTGTGGGTCGACTTTCAATAGTGGTGTGCCCGTAGCTCCAGTAAATTACCATTTTATGGAGGGGATAATTGTGCCTGCCAATTTTGTCACTTTGTTTCTGATAATCTCCCAACCTCTACATATTTGTTCAACCTGCTACACTTTAACACTGTGAGGGGTTTCGTTTTGAGCCTAAATGGTTGTCATAACTTCGGTAAATGATTTTCGAAACGGAGCGGATAATTGTGGAGCGAGCAGTGTTGGCTGGCTCACCTGATTTAATGCCTCTTTTGTTCTTCACCCCTTTTGCACCTTAAGTGCCTTGACATTAGCCCAAATTATTTTCAAAATATTGACTGTTGTGTTATTGCTCCTAACCACTGAGAGATTTAGGCAATAGTGTTTGTGTCTATTGCTCTGTTCAGCCATCGTAACAGCAGCATCCTTGTGAAATCGTCTTCTCTACTGACATGCGTTTAATAGGTACCACATAGGATTTTGTGAAATTTTGACTTCGGTATTCAACATCAAATTCGCCGAATGCGCAGAGTTTGAAAGCCGCTTTCGTTGCAAAGTTGCAGATTAACGATGATTTTGAACAGCCTAAAAATTCATTCCTAAGTTATATTCGATTTTTACAATGAAAAACGCTTTTTGTTCGTGTATATAGTAGAAATGAAGTTCAATGGAACATTCTCAATGCGTGTTTTTCATTTTTGCCTCACATCCTGGTAAATGTGTATCTTTTTGTGCGAAACAGCATTTTACGTGATTTTCCATGTTTTACGTCATTCACTTTGTTAGGGTTTGAGATTTTATATAACTCCAAACTCAAAGTTTTTGCCATTAAGTGTTTAGCTGTGTTAGGAGATATACTAACGTTTATGTTTACCAGCAAATGGAAATTGGTACTTAAACCTTCAAGTGTCCAAAAATTTAACCCGTGATATCTTTGACTTGGAACTTTTAGGGTTTATTGTGAATTTTTTTGTAAGGTGAAGCACCAAGTCAATTAACATCGTGTCTGTTTGACTACTCTGCAAATTTTAAGACATGCAGTTGAAATTCATTTATTCAGAATGTAGTGTAAGAGGAAATTTGCTAGCTGCTTGGTAACGGTTGTGTAGCTATACGAGTGATTCGATTTCAAGAGTGTCTCACCAACTCAGCCCTTCAAACTCGAGTGTCATGAATGACGTGCACAATGACAAGCAGTGAAGTCAAGTCACTGCATAGGTTTTTTTAGTTCGCAATCCGCCTCCTGGGACATTCAAAGGTGTACAAACCTTACTTGCTTGTATACTTTGTCATCTCAACGGGATCTCGCAAATCAGTCTTGTCCACTGGACAATAATTTAGTTATATGTGTACCAGTTTAGTATGTTATTGCCGGGCCCACACGATGTAGGAAAAACCGCAATTATTCTTATCTTTCTATATTCCTCTGAGTGATGTCCTTTTTATAATTGAGTAGCCTTTGTGTGTGTGTGTGTGTGTGTGTGTGTGTAGCCTCTGTTTTAAGCAGATTACACAATTAAGTGAATCTAAAACAAAATATATACAAAAGAAGCCACGTGGCTTCAACACTGAACTCGATTAATTTCTTTTTCTAAGCTCCGCTACTGCCCATTGTAATCTGACTGTACGTATATACTTTTTATTCCAAGCAGTTTTGAATTCGCCATGTACACCTTCACCCTTTCTTTTTAGTGGGATATAAATTATCTTAATGTTATGTATTTTTTAGGTCGCAGTCAAAGTTATCGACAAAACGCAACTGAATCCCACAAGTCTCCGAAAGGTTTGTAAAACAAACATTTTCTTCTCCTCTTTACTATTTTCTTGTTTTATAATTTTCATTTTTCATGTTAATTCAGAATTGGTTGGTGTGTTTTCTTGCTGATCATCTTGCATTTAGAGATTTTTTTAGTTTTAAATAATTTCCTTGTACTACTTTCATTCTCATGAACTACCGAAACGTGTAAATCTCCTACGATTGTCCTATTTTTGAAGAAATTGTAGTTGAAGCTTAATCGCCCTCTATGATATCGGTACATTAGTTCCGCTAATGCTTTTTCACCAGCAATGTTTTCTGCGATTACTCTTGGTTGACCCTAGACGTTAACGTCTCACACAATGTGCTTATATCGTGGATTAGCGTTAACCATTTTCTCATATCACACCAAAATCAGCCAGACAGAAGCTAGCCATGATATGTTAAACAGGCAAGCCGCCAGCAAAGAATAGACCTTAGCATATCTTGCTATCTGTGTTGAGTTTGCCACAAACCAATTGGCTATCTTGTGTTTGGTTTGATAATTTCACGCTCGTCGCTACTTTGCTGGGTATTGGTGTGATGCAATTTGGGCAGTTTTACTGACCCGATATCGATACGTTTTAAGAGGAAACTTATTTCAGTATTTCGCGACCGCTGCGGTTTTTGTCACGGGCTGCACGGAAATTTGGTTTTCGTCATTCCTTCGCGTGTCGACTGCCGCTTTTTGCAAACGTACCATCGCGTGCGCGATCGCGTTGATCCGTGTGGATTTTTGTCGCTCAGTCTTGGAATCTGGTTTATTACTGCTGTCACTCCACTTCCACTGGACTTATTTGTTGAAATTTGTAGTCGATACACTTTAGGGACATATTGTGTCTTTAGGAACTTGCTAGTGCCTTTTAGTTTGGATGCATGATTTCTGCGCTTTAACTTTATAGTATAAAGCCTGGTAATTCTATGGTTTGAATAAGTTGAGGGGACTGAGCCTAAGTATTACAGACAATGCATTTCCAACTTTTCATTTATGCAGTTTGCGTTAGGTTACATCGATGTCGTCAATATTTCCAAGCAATTATGTGATTTTACACTAGGTTTTCTTACTTAATTCAATTCGTCGTGAAAATTTTATAGCGACTGAGATATTCTGTGATGTCGCGTTCGAAAGTGGAATGAAGCTGTTAGTTTCATGTGCTGGTTTTGATGCGACCGATCTGGAGAAGTGCAGTAACACCTTGTTTTCCGGAACGGACACAGCAGTCCCCTGAAAACGTGGCCACTTCGTACATCACCCAAGGTGGTATTGCGGATTTAGCGGCCTTAGTGCCTGTGTACGTGCGGCGTAAGATTGACGTCAGGCTTCTTCCCCTGCCTCGCTCTCCTAGCGCGAATTTATTCCGGTGGCCCTTCCAAGTTCGCATTGTCGCCGGTTGTGCAGACAGCGCCCACGCGCATTCCCTTGTCATCGTGCGGCGCGCGTGCATGACTCACACGGCCCACGACGCACATGTGTCAGTGTTGCCTCCCGTGAATTTTCGCAATTTATAACATCGCAATGGGTACCAGTAGATCGTCATTATGGCATGACTCAAAAGGCGATCGTGGTGTGTAGTTTATTCCTACACTTTATTTTTCAGCTCTTCCGGGAGGTACGAATAATGAAGACTTTGGATCATCCAAATATCAGTATGTGTTTCTATTTTTCATCACTAAGAATACTTGAAACTACAATCTCCATGTTTTTAGTCTGAATGCTCACATTCTGCTCCTGTCACTATCGTGCTTATGGTTTATCGATTTTATTACCACAAAAGTTGCGTCGTGTCTGATGATGGCCTTAATGGGTGTCTCCAGTTTAGTAAATTTTCCCTTTTGCTTGTGGCCTCTTTTATAGCAATTTTCTTTTCTGCTGAAGAATGGCATGCATTGCTTCCTTAACGACCTCTGTCGTAAGGCATGGGTATTGTAGTCCCTGAAAAGTCCCTTTGCACTGATGCAAGTAAGACTGCCCATGTATTATTGCCACCTGATTGTATAAACCTACACATTTAAGCTAAATTTTTCCGTAAGCACAAAAATAAGTGCTCCTCTTTTTGCTTCTCTCAGTTTCCATTTCGCATCTGTCTGAGGGTTTAGGTTACTTAATTCCACTTTCACTCTGAACCCTTGCATTGTTGTTTGTTGGTTGCATACTAAGTGATGTCATCCAGACTAATAAATTGTTCGTTCGTTAACTCGGAATATTGAAAAAATTCGAAGGAGGATTCCCTGCAGTACCTTGATGGGGGCGAGGCGTATCAGTAATTTAAACTAAACGTACACTGGTGGTTATTTCCCATCAGTTCGCAAGTTGCGCCGGGTAATAACAACTGCGGAATATCTCAGATTCCTATGTATCTAGCGTGATATTAATTACCTTACTAAGATGAAAATATCGTGACGATTTATTTGCGTTGTGAAACTGGCGAATGTGTTCTTGGCAAGAAGTTCATTTTTAAATAGGTTTTGAGTCATTCAAATTTAGGGTTTGAATTCTACTGGAGCGCTTGATCAGTCGTTTTTTTTTTAATTTGCGCAATTTCACGTTTTCGTAGACTGGAAGCCATTCGCCTTACGTCACACATAGTTGCTCTAAGCAACAGCAGTAGAGATGACGCATCAATACCTGTCTGTTAAAGTAATTTAAAGTGACCCCATCTCCAGCAACCTGCCACTCGAAACAGCGTGGACGTTTGCATTCGACTTTACCGATTTTGCATGAGCATAGCTGTGGAAATCTCTCGTTGTTCTCAACAAGTAAACCCTTATTTTTAGCGCATGATTCCTCCCAACAATAAGATAATTTGTATGCAGTGGACCCAATGCAAATGTAACCGAACTTCTGCCTAAATCAATGCGATCTACAGTCTCGTTTTTTCCAGTACATCTGTGTGTAAATTGAATGATTTTGTTCGGTTTGCTGTCGCATTTACATGTGGCGCCTTATCACCTAAGCTTTCAGCTGCTCATTAGGATGAATCTGTTCCGGACCCTGTTTCACTTTTAACTCTTGACCTCGGTACGATTAGAGCTACTTGGAAGCACGAAGGTCGTCATTTTTTGCTAACAGCATCTGAGCATGTGTGTGCCCGTCTCGTCAGTATTGTAGCCAGTCGTTACACGTTAAAATACATATTTTGACTTTTCCCTGAGTCGTGTTCCTCTAATTTAGTGCTCTGATGTAATTCGCGGTTGACTTCGTTCTGGTTACTCTACATATGCAATTTTAGCGAAATTGCTACGAAATTTGTTGAATAGAAAACCGATGCCAGCTGTAATACTGCTTTTGTGCGTTCTAGATTATAGTAAAGTAGTAATTCGTATTCATTGGTTTGTCAGCCAGATCACGTGGAAGTTGATGTGCGACTGACTCTGATGTTTGACAAGTACTTCAAGCTCTATATTTTGCTGGTGTTTTCCATTAGATGGGGTGTGTTTAAGAGTATGCCCGTCCACGCAAGAGCATTTTGTGCAATTTCACCATCCTGAAGTTTGAATTGCCTCTGGATTTCACTGATGTGGCAAGGTGTTACTCGTAGGTCCGATTCCCATAGCTCTTTGCCGAAAGTGCCCTCCACGTCAATGTAAGATAATTCTTCAATGCTCTGTGTGAATCTTTATGCGCATTTCGCACTGTCAGCGAGCTGATTGCTCTGGGCACACATTTCCACAATTGAGGGATTCATGACTAGTGGGTATTTCGTCTGAAGAAGATTGATACCGTTCACCGCTGCCCTCAACTTTTTTAATCAAAATAACTTTCTTCGGCACACATTGGGTCCTGTCTACTTTAAGAGCATGGTCCATTCGTTGATAGACTTGCTCCTCCACCTTGTGAGTTTTCGTTTCTATGTGACAATCAGCAATGGTTTGTATCAGCTCCTCATGCGTCGTGTGCGTAATTCACAAGGCCGTACACAGTGCAGGTACGCTTTTGTTCATGCACCCACTAAATCTTTAAAATAGTTCTTGACTGTGCCAACTGCTTTCATTAGACAGCTTTGGGTCATCGGTTGCACCCTCCCGTTGCTGTGCGATTTTCTTAACCGAATTTAAACCACAACGTGGAGGATGGATTTTAAACATTTACGTGTGCTTTGAGTTCTTCCCCCTTCACCAAAAATCCTTGAAGTGTCTTTACTCTTCCCTTGTACCCGTATTCATAAAAGGAACCTGAAGCGGTATTTTTCAGCTACAAGAAAGTTGTATGGTCCTTATTTATGACCTTAACCTATCCTCACTTACACGGGGCTTTGCATTACTATCTCTGCCCTAGCTATTTCTTTTATCGTGTCTGTGGGAGTCACTGCGTCGTGCAGACTTGCCGATTTTCACCCCCTGACGCTGTCTGATCGGCGTCGTTTTGTATTACGAACACCACTTATTACATACGATGTCGTGGCAGGTGGTGTCCCCTCCACTGCCTCTGGCATTACAGACTTGAGACAGGTCTGTGGTGAATCTGCATTTGCTTCTTGCAGTGTGTATTTCTCCTGGTTTGGACGGTTTTTTGTGAAAATGCCATCGATCCTGGCAAGAAGGTTGTTCACTTTCTTGGGTGCTTGTGTGCGCAGACTTCTTTAAGCGACTGGAATGCAAGTACGCGCCTTAATCCACCTTCGTTTTGCTTGTTTTTTACCACTGTGCACAAGTTTAAATTCAGGCTTCTGTTTTCTTAGTATTTCCCTATCAAAATTAATGTCTTTATTTGGCGACGGAGAATTAATAACATTGTAGAAACAATGTTTGCGGGAACTGGGAATACCCAAAGCGGTTAATGCAGACCAATTTTGTTTCTAAATCCTCCTTCGTTAATTTTTGTAGATCAGGTAAAAATTCAACTGCAAACCAGTGAGGCATCGTCGTGATGACTTAAAAAATTAACGTCTATTTTGATTTCAACAAAAACGGCAGGGATTTTTTAACAAATCAGAATGCATATGTACTTAGGTACAATTATAGTTTTTTTGGTATCGCTAATAAACTTAGCTTAATTTTTGCTTTTGAATTTAACTCCGTCCTATTTCCCACTACTACCCTTCATCTTTTGACCTTCTCTTCAACGTATACGGTGAATTTCGCTTTAACATTTTTCTCGTGGCTCCTTGTGCTCGAGTAATTTTCATGTGTTGCGCGTCCAGCCGTAACTTCTATCCAAAACCTTCAGTCTTGTTTCTAATTTTGTATGACTTCGATTTAACTCACCGATTCGCCTGTTTTCTCGTGTGATTCTTATAATAACTCTTGTGGAGCGAGCTTGTATAGCTTCAGCACCCTATATAGTACCTCAGGTAAAGCTTTCGTCTACCGGACTTGTCACCCTAGAATCGAAGGGGGTTTTCGAACAATTAAAATGGGACGTTTGGTGTTTTGTGTCTGTATGTACCACATTAAACAGCGATATATGAAAATTGGATCACAGAAATGTTTGCCCATGCGACTATCCTGTGTTTCGTTAGGTCCTCTCGATTCGCTTTAATGAGTTCACGAAGTGTTGACAATTTTTAAACCTACCGCATAATCCGGATTGTGTTGGTACTTACTGATCGAGCTTATGACCTCTAAGGCGTATCACGTTGGTCCTATGACCCACAAGCACCGTACACGTATGGTGACCATGAGTTCCGTAAGTTTTAGGCAGCTGACATTGTCGTGTTATTGTCGTGATGCAACACTGTTTACTAATGCTCAGGGTTAAGAAGGGGAATGGTGTTTGACGTGATGGCCAAGCAAACTGAACTCACCGACCCGTGTGCCTCAATAGCGGTACGCGCGCATCATCCTCATTTGGTTTCTCCTTGTGTTACGGACCGCTTGACGTGTGTTGTCCAATATAATCCTGCTAGTTCTTTTGTGAATTCCAAAACTATGCTCTTCCCTTTGTTCGTGACATGGCTGTGTTGATTTGCTTAAAGAAACATTCTCTCTCGACTTATGATGAAGCAAGTAACGTGTCTTTGATGCAACAGCATAACCTAGTAGATTTATTATTACTGTAGACAAGGTGACCCACTACTGTTGAAGACAAAAGTCACTCCTTTCACGCACAAGCATTTATGTGATTTTCGTTAATTAATGTATTTTTATCAATCGAGAAAAACTTGGCTTTCCTTGTATAGTGGTGATGATGATGATGGTTGTATTTGGAGCATTTCTTACTTCCTTTTATTCCACAAAGGTTTACCATATTTGTCTGTTTGAGCGGCTAGCATATCTATCAGCATTTACTGTTATCTGCTTCTAGGCGTCTTTGCTGTTCACTTTTGCGCTTTATTTCGTCTAAAATTTTTTTTCTCCTTTTTAGTTAAACTGCTGGAAGTCATAGAATCGGAGAAGCACTTGTATTTGGTCATGGAGTATGCTAGCAATGGTGAGCATAGAATTTGTTCTGCTCGTTTTTTGTGTTGCATAATTTCCATAAAATGTTCCCTAAGGGTGCAAAATTTTAAGGTTTGATTACCCTAACCTTGGGAGACGCCATTTAGTCAAGGTGCATGACGCAGCGTTCACATGCATCATTTTGACCTTGTGTTCATCTGTTGAACTAATCACCTTCCTGGGGATAGTAGGCGACCTCATAGCCCCTCTTCTCCGCTGAGTACCATTAATCCCGCGATCGTAGGTGGCAGTGAAGCGGCGGCTAGATCAAGTGGAAGCAACCGCTTGCTCTCCCGCTAGACGTGTTGCGGCGTTGTTGTGCTTACGCAAGCCTGTTAATAGAGTACTTTTGGGTTAGTCACAATCCCCAATCATTTTGAGACCAATCTGTTCGGACAGGCTTCCATAGATAAGCAATCGGTGAAAGTCGACTATGAATTCACTTTTAGACCGCTTGCAGACGTCGCTGCCAGTAAACTGATTTTGCGACGTAAAGTCACCTTGTTCGCGTCTGCCATGTTGCTGCTTTGCCGTCAGATAAAGCCATTAACGTGAGGAACACTTCTATGTTCTGGGTCACGCAAATTTACTAAACATTTCGCTTTTGTTGCCTAAAGGCCGCCAGGTTTTCGTGTGTACTCATTCAAATTAATCTGTATTCGCAAACGCACAAGTTATTCATTGATATCAAATTCATTAAGCATTTCATTTTCCGTCTTTGACTTCAGGGCTTACGATTAAAAACAACGAAATCACTTATCCTTCTTTCAGACACGAAAAACCACGCGTTATAGGAAGTGCAAATGTTTATACTAAAATCCCAAATCAGCTTTTCGAGTTCCCCAAACTGCTGTAACCACTGCAGCTGTCGTCACTGGTGCCAAATGTGTCATTTACTCACTTATGGGTGCCCCTGACATGCTGGGTGAGGCACGTTCGTTTCACGCTTTCCTTCACCTAACATCGGACTGATCCAAACTTTGGTCGGATTGGATTATTGCGTTTACGCCCAGTATCGCTCGACCACTTACATTTTATGCTCAATGTGTCAACTCGTCATCAAGACTTAATCTAGTGGATGCCGGTGCGGTTGGCGCACGCCAATCACCCGTTCACCGACTTGTTTTTGCGCGTTTTATTCCTCCCGATTGTGAAAACATGACTCACAAAGGACTCGGACACCTTTCTAGCAAATTTTTCGAGGCACACTCCTTCACCGGCCAGCATTTGGTGGTTTACGCTATTCCAAACCATTTCATTTGCAATTCATCTCCACGGTCGGTTTTAGTACTAACGCATGGCAACTTAAATTTAATCTACAGCCTCGGCCCCACGCTGACAGTAATCTTGACTTATTTTGTGGTCCGATTTTTTAACGAAGTCATCATATTCGTCTAGTTCTATTGCAGAATTGTCTCAATGAATAGCAATAACTCAATTCTTTATTTTACTAATGCGTTTAGGTCTCCTACTTGACGCAACTATACTTCCTAAATCGCTTTTGCCGCCGTAGGCGAATGATACTTTCATCTTCCCCATTAAATTTAACTCAATATTAAATATTAATTTAAACTTTTTTGTGGTTACCACGATCTTTCGTTCTTATTGGTCCAAATGTGATTCACCTAACTCGCTTTGAAGAAGAAACTCAATAAGCGGTCATGTTGATTCAACCAATTTACAGCCGTATTCCTATAAAAAAAGCGACAATAAATCTTCTAGCCTAATTATCATTCGTCTGTGTTCCACGCTTGTTTTCCTTCTTTTTAAATTCTCCTCTGCGTTGTATTTCTTTCATGATTCGAACCCCACAGGATTATTTGTTGACCTTTAGCTGCCGTTGTAGCCTGCTGATAGATTGTTTCATTCCACCTGGGCTAATGCTTGCTCTTAATTCTATCCTGGGCACACTGGTTGGATTAAGGCCAATTACTCCAATATCGTCCTGGTCTTTAACATCAGTCTTGTCATATTGACTGCTTCCAACCACTTTGTGCTGGGTGATTACAAAAGTTCGTGCCTGATTTTCATAGGTGGTAGCGCTGTTTTATTGCTAGCTGATGCAAAACTAATCGTAAAAAGAGTGTATGTGCAAGGCAAGCATGCAAAATGGAAAGTAGATAATTGTATTTTCACGACCAGCCGACATTGGTAATAATTTTATTCAGGGCTAGGTTATTAACGATCCACAGATTGCCTTTGATGGAAGCGTTGAAAGACTAACTGTCAAGTCAACCGTAGTTCGCCATTTAAAGCAATTTGGATGCACTTCGAACCTTGATACACGGGTCCCGCACATTTTTTATAGAATGGACCAAACTCGATCCTGTTTCCACTGCCATTTCCCTCCTCCGTCAAAAAAGCCAGCCTTACTTGGATGAAGTCTTCATCGGAGATCCAACTTTTTTACCTATAACAAGATTATAAGAGAAGCTAGAAGCTAAAGAGCATAATCTATGGCAAAGTCTGAATTACATCCAATAGAGGTATTATTGTATGCTTGGTGGAATCGAAGAGGAATAGTGTTTTGCGAGCTTCTTCTCTGTGGCGAAACAAGGATTGCGGCGAAGTGCTCTGACCAGCTCGTCCAACTCAATGTTGAATTCGAAATGAAACGTTCAGATTTGGTCAATCGAAAGAGAATCGTCTTTCACTACGGCAACGCTAGGCCACGTGCCTCAGCAGATACCTGATCAATTTAGGGTATTAAAATGGGAAACCCTCCAGTATCCACTGTATTCCTCTGACTTTGCCCCTCTAGATTTCCATGCGTTTCGTTCCCTGCATTATAATTTGGATGGCAGGAAGACAAACTCTAGAATGCGATTTTCTTTGAAGGAAAACCACACAGTTTCTGTAAAAAAGAAACTCAAAAACTTGTAAAACGCTGTGACACAATTATGGGTTACTGTGGAGATTTCTTCATTCAATAATAATTGCTTTTTTCGTTCAAACTGGTCTTCCTTAATTGGATCTCAGCCACGAGCTTTTTCAACCGCCCAACTTACCTGCTGCTTTCGTGCTGGATGCTGGTTGTCGGTTTGGTTAAAGCCTAAATTTGATTGTTTTCATTCACCTTATTATTAACTCTGACGTATTATTCAATACGCAGCATTTCCAAATTCTTCGTAATTACTTACTACTTCACTCCGTTCCACCTATTTGTTGTAATCATTTTCCTGCAAGGATGAAGATCCTGCTTGACCCGTGGCGTTGCTAGCTCGTAATCGCCCGCCCACTTGTTTCCTTGCTTAAACTCCCCACAAGGGCACCGCTAGGAGAAATTTGATAGCGGATAGGCAGCATCGTATCTCCCGTCTTTTAAGCCCCGTCGATTGACTACAGGTAGCGACAAATTGACGCAGCCGACAAATCGTTTGTTTGGTCAACCCTCGTCGCCTTGTTCGAGTTCCGCGAAAAGCGCTTTCAGACTAGTCTCAACAACGTCAGTTGGACTTTCGGAGTGGCTTGCGTCATTGGTTTCAAAGTTGCTGCCATTAAATTTGGCTAAGCATTTCTGTGCCGGTCCTTGACTTTATCACCGCAATTGAACGCAAATTGGAAGTGACGCTGAAAATGCAAATTTTCGTCACCTTGTCACTCCATTGTCGGAGGTCGAAGAATGGAAAACGTTTAGTGGGCCGGTGGCAGTCTTTGTCGATTGAAGACTTTCTTCACCATAAACCTTCAATCCTTCTCCAAGAGTAAACAAGTTGGCGGCGAAAATTACATTTGAGAAAAAATTACGAACGGCCTAGTACCTCAACCCAATAGTTCAAAACATTTGACATCTTTGTAGTAAATGTTTGACACAAAGAATAGGCAAGTTAGCACAAAACAGCGTCACTGCAGCTTTGCTTAGGCACTCACGCCAAAGTGTGCGTTTTTCCAAGGTTTTTTTGTTTCTTTCAACTGTGTTGATTTTGGTTCCCGATTTTAAAAATAGTCCCTACTATGACGCCCGGCCGGCGTTGGGTGCAGCTCGGATCTCTTCATTTGTGGTTGATTCACCTCATTTGAATGACGACATTCTCGAATCATGACGCATCTAGAGGCAATCATTTATCCTTCTGAGTGGTTTCTTTGGCTTTCTCCCATAATTTTGGCGCTCGTTGTTGGGAATTAACGCCTTTGGTGCGTGCGTCTGTCTGTAAACTCTTTGGGTCATTATAACCCCCATCTCCATACTTTTCTGGCTAATTTTGAACTACAACTATCCATTTCAATCAAAGCCAGTTTTGCCGAATTTGTAATAAGTCATCTTCGTTTGTTATTATTTTCACCTACGGCAGATGTTTTACCACGTAACTCATGTGATTTGGCCGCTTATTTTCGTTTTTCCACCTTTTGAATGGCGAGACGGTAGATGGCGTTGGACTTCGACAGTAGATAGTTCAACTAGCAGTTTTTTGTAACAGGATTTAATATTTTCCACCAATGGCGGCTCTGAACTACCTTAACCATCAGGCTAGGGTATCATCTACCCAGTTAGAATGTTAAACGTCTGTGAATTCAATACAAACAGCTGTGCATTTTCACACATTTAAATGAGGTGAAAGGCTCTTCTTTTGAATCAGGGGTGTCGGCTTAGGCCTTAACACCTGTCTGTCGTAAAATCTGCCAATGTATGGTCAGGTTCCACGTGTCCTTTCTTAACATTGGTGCTTATTCTAAGCAATTGGTTGAGTGTGACATCCTTTGCTTGGCTATGCTATAGAATCAATAATTTTATCCATATACTACTTACCTATATATTAATATTTGCTATTACATTTGAGTACGAAGGTAGGCAGAGAATATAAATGGTAGACCGGCTCAACATTATCTATGATTTAACCATTATTCAGCTCCTAGCTTGTTCTAAATCACCACAGTGCTTGTTAAGTCGGAATTATGGTTATTTTTATCCATAATACCAAAGCTTCGTCGCCGTCGCCCTCACAACAACCATCTGCATGGATCCCGCTTAGTGTGGTTGAAGTAGGGACCAAAACACTGAACAGGAAGCTTCCATACCGATCTCTTACTTTTACCATAATCGACGTGCGTTGATCACACGAAGGCGAATCGGGTTAAGTTATTTACTTCCGATGCCTAAATCACTGCCCCTTTTTGAGCTCAGAGTTTGCGCTTTCGGTGTGCGTACTAACCTTAGACCAACTTTTGTTCGCCACTGTGCGTCGGTTAGGGTCACCCTCAATGAACCACCATCACTAGTTTTTTGTGATGACCTCAACTGCGCCATTGATGTCTTTCCTTTTCTTATCTGTCCTGACACGTCCTCGTGTTGCCGTCACCCTAACATCGTATTTGCGTTTGTGTTTGCTCCTTTTTCTGTGGACGGACATTTTGTTTAGTATTCCGGAATCATGTTTCGTTTTAAACATTACTTTCAACACAATTTTAGCCTTTCGGTTATGTTTCCAGCCAACAATGGACGCAATTAGCTGGTAAATGAATTTAACTCTCAGTTTTGTTGCTGTTTCGTATTTTTAGGCCGCGTATGTTTGTGCGTATTTTCTTAGCAATCCCAACACATTCGGGTTTGAAACTGTGAAATGGGAAACTTCCACGATTACCTCTATTAAATAGACTTGCTTTTAAGATTCCGGTTTTTAAATATGACCTATCTAGAACACTCACTGCATTGTACCTTAACAAAAAGAAAGCATCAACATAAAACACTTTGCTGTTTCTGTACTTTTTTCGTTTGTGGTTCTAGTGCTTGGGAATTGTGGTCTACTGCAATCGCACGAATCGCATGTCAGTTAGCAGTAAACATGGGCCTGCGTATATGAAAACTGCCGAACTGCTTCTTCAATTGCCCCCATGGTAGTCGTGTCTTTCAATAACATCATTTGAGCGCGTTGGTATGTAGGTGGCACGGTTCCGGGGGAATGTCTGAGTTACTTAAATTTGTGTGAGAAAATCTGCTTCCTGCAAAGGAACTGTGAACGAATGATCATGTCTTTTCTATTTAAAGTGGTAAATGAAGAACCCAAAACAAATGCACCTTGGGAATTTTTAATCCAGTGTTACCTGTTTTTGATTTATACGAAAGGCCATTATTCTTCGTCTAGAACCATTACTCTTCCACTTGATGCTCACACGTTGGGTTTAATGAAGGTGAGCGCTGTACACCAACGCCCAAATCCTTAGATGATAACCGCTCCTCGCTCTTATGTTGGAAACCGACTGGATTAGTTCAAATCCGCCATCATAACCTCTGCAAATTAGTGTTTTTCTAAATACTTTTCGATAAAGTTTGAGCTGGATGTCACAATGCACCTCCCTACATACATTTTCCGAGATATTCATTATTGATCTGTTTCATTGGATTTATACATATTTCATTGGCCTATTGACCGTTCAGTTGCGTGGTTGCTTCTTTAAATTACACTCACCTACCTACATAGTGCTTTAGTTGGTTTGCTGAAGGTGTAGCCCGCACCCAATTAGATGGTTTTGACTTCCCTACCATTGCATTAACATCGGGGGGTTTCCCCTTCTCAAAAATGAAAACATCGTTCCCACGTGTGTTGACTCGATCGTCCACTTTTAACTTTTATTGTGGTTCGAAATTTGGCTATTGGCTGCCCTGTCAAGTTACCCAGGTAGGAAATCAACTCATTGATTCTAAATATTAAATTAAAATCAGGTTTCTTAGGTATTTGGATATTTTATTTTGGTTTTTGACCCATACTTATTTGGCTCCCATACTTCCAGTATGTGAATTCCTATGCATTTTAAGCCCTGCCTGATGTGGTAGGTTTCTCTTTGTAATTTGATGTTAGTATTTTGGGCTATCATAATTTCTTTGTCGCATCGAACCTAACATGAGGATACCGATATGAGTTGTTTCGACCTCCTTGGAGTATCACCAGTAAGTCTTCGTTGTTGTTAGCAGCCAGTCGAGGCATTGGAACAAACATTACAGGAAGTTCTCGCGATTTTATTTGCGGTTTCCTCAATTTTTTTTGTCTTCTTTCTGAAGGAAATTCTTGTCGTTCACGGACTAGTTATAAGCGTTAATATTTTCATTTTTTGCATTCGTTTTCCAATGATAGATCTTGACTCCTAACTCATACTTTATGTTTTGGGTCTTAATGTTCTTTGCTTGCGGTGAAATTCCTCTATCGGAAAGCTTCATAAACCACTGTCACCGGATCTAGAACCTAGGCGGAAACGTCTGTGTGAACCTCCCTGGCGAGCTCACTGACACTTTGGCCCTCTTACGTTTAATTCTCGTTAGCGTGATCGGATCGGGCTATTACAATTATCCACAAAAGTGGAATATTCTTTACAGCCAATTCCGGCACTTGTCTTTGACAACTCACACCTATCAACTTCAAAATGTGAGACTGCTGTGTCTCTTGTACGTTGACTTTCTGGAAATGGGAAAGTGGATTTAGTGCAACAAACAAAGAATTCCGTAAAATTTTGGATTCTGACATACCATTTGTCTAGAATTTTATGCCAATTTGACTGTCAGTGTGTTACCCCTCAGGCGTTGCTACGTATTAATCTTACAGCTGGTCATAAGTGTCCTTTTCGAAAGCAGTTAGCTGGCCCGAGTTCGCATTGTCTCCACGGTGACACGCAACTCGGTGATTAAACGCTTGTTTGGCCTGATTTAAAGATTGCTTCGAACTTTTTTCCTGGTTTATCATGTATTCCTCCTTAGTGTAATAGCGTTCTCTAAAAATCGCGCCTGTAATCTCACTCTTGTTCCCTTTTTATGATTTTATTAGTTTCTATTTTTAATATTTGGTGTTTAGTGACGCCTCAACCTGTAGCCGAATCAGTACTCTACTTTTAAACCCGAAATTCGCTGTTGACTTTAATTTAACTACTGGTTTTTTCCTAGATATTTGACCAGTTAAAAATTCTGACTAATATTTGGGTGTTTATTCGAAAAAAACGGTCCTTTTTCATGTTTTCTCTCTATTTTCCGCTAATCCGTCGTGAAACATGTATTTTGCCATGGAGCACTCACGGTCAGTCGTAACTGCACCAAATAAGCTAAATTTGTTTATTCTGAAAGCGTGTAGTACAACTAGCATGCGTTACAGACATTGTGATGTGTTAGAAATTAGGCATTTAAATGGAGTTGTTCTGCAGAACATTGAGAGATCGACATGTCGTCTTTTTGCGTCTTTGGTTTGAAATTCCAGGATTAATTGATGTCGTCTAGGACGTTCAATCATTATTTCAGGTGAAGTATTCGACTTTCTTGTCACTCATGGAAAAATGAAAGAAAAGGATGCACGAGTAAAGTTTCGTCAAATCGTGTCTGCGGTGCAATATTGCCATGCCAAAAACATTGTTCATCGTGATCTCAAGGTAAGGCCGATTTTGTCTGGGATGGCTTGCTTTATTTATTGTATTTAAAGCCTTTCGCGGGTCCTTCCAATGATTGACGGCACGAAGTATTGTTTGTGATGTAACAATCGATTTGTGAAGTCGAAACCGGAGGTTTTATTCTCAGAACTTAAAGAAGGGCAATCTACCTTGCCTGGCTTGGAGCTCACTTGATATTTGTACAGTGGGTGCTGCCTTAGGATTTGAAAGTTTTTATTGGTTAGAACTACTTATGCTGAGTTACTATCACTTCAGTGCCTCATTCAAATTCTTAGTGTACTGATTTTTTGCTATAACTTTTTTTTCTGTCTGGCCTTGTGATTCCTTTGAAACCCGACATCCACACATACCATTACGCTTTCACGTAATCTTACCCAAAACACGATAGGGGCTTTTCTGGACTGTCTATCCCTGGTGCGTTTACCTGCTTGAGTAAAAGCTTGGAAAGGCGATACGACAGCTGCCTGGAATTTGCAGGAATAGTGTTCTAATGTGTAAAATAAATAGAGTTTTGCTAAGTGTAGGGATCAGTGTACAATACATTGTTTGTGGTTTGTTTTCTTATAACTTTTCCATTTGTCTAGACTCAGTCATAGCTTTTCACGCACCTTCACACTCGCCTAAGTTGTATCAGTCCCTCTGGAGGCGAGGCCACATAGACGGGCTTCCAATGTCACAGTCGACGACGCATGCTGGTTCTGTCCTTACCCTAGATTCCATCTAAGTGCACAACTCTAAGCTGCCGCAAAATTAACTCTTTCTTCTCATACTGCGCTTCATCATCTTCAACTTGGTTTCTGCCCACCCCATTTTGAAATAACTGACATCCTTGCGCTTCATGCATTCCTATTAAGCTTCTCTAAACCTTTTTTTCAAATCAGTATTGCTTTTCTTTAAATATTCGATAGATATCTTTTATTCTCATTCCGTATAACTTAGATATAAGCCCATTTTAGGCGGAGAATCTGTTGCTGGATGAATCAATGAATCTGAAGATAGCAGATTTCGGATTTTCCAATAACTATTCATCGGGTCGAAAGCTGGATACATTTTGTGGTTCCCCACCTTACGCAGCGCCTGAGCTCTTCCTCGGCAGGAAATACGACGGTCCTGAAGTGGATGTCTGGTCTCTCGGTGTCATTCTTTACACTCTCGTTTCCGGTTCTCTCCCGTTTGACGGGAAAAATCTCAAAGTATGTTGGAATACATCAACTCCATTTGCCTGTGGTGTGCGCATTCAGACTCTATGTTGTAGTCAAAAAGTCGAATTTGTCATGTTGTTTTGTAGACGTGTTGGGAAAACAATATGTAGACATGCCACTCTGAGGACATTCCACTAAGATCGCATCTTCCATATGTATATCTTGGCGTTTGAATATGTGCATTTGTTTTTTGAATCTTTCTCAGTAGCTGTCCCAAGTAAACCTGAGCACCTTGTGCCTACTTATTTGCCTTTAGTCATGTGACAGGCTGCAGTTCTTTTGTTGCTACGCCCACTAGATAGATTTGAATCTAAATCACTGACACATCAAGCTGAATTTGGATAATTGTGTGCAGAAATTCACGCTATGCACGTAATTGCTAACTAGCGTGGACTATGGTCGCCTTCCTCACCTTAGTCCCAACAAAAGAATGAAGGGCGTCACCACGCCACCCACTTACGTTGGGCACGACAGTATTCCTGCTTTCGCACGACGCTTTCCTGCGTGACGCATGCATCTTACTCAACATCGCTTTTGCTGTATTCGGTACTTCTGCTCTCGTTGGCCACTTTGATTTACTTCAACCGTTTCTGATGCGTGCATTATGGAGATTTGCTTACACTGCTTTTGAGGTACAGACCCTTTTGCACCATTCAGGCTGAGTTCACTTCTCCATGTCTACGGGTGCGCGGAAGGAGGCTTGGTGTGCCAGAAGCTTGGCGTCGTCGTAAAACAGATTAGGTTTTCGTTTACAGTTCTAAGTTTACCTGAAGACAAAACTCTGCGTAGAAAACATGGCCCCTGATATCATTTCACCCATATTACTCCACTTTCTCAAAAATCCTAGTGATTGCAGCTCATTAAGTCCGTCTCACAAAACTTGCGTGCACAAATCATGTGCATGATGCCGATATGTGGGTCGAGGTTTATCTTTCAATCCGACTCCCCTCACGTTTACCGTTTGCAGAAGCGTCTTTACCCACACTCCAGTTCACCAGGCTGTCTGTTTAATTAGCCCCTTTGGTAGAATGAGACCGAGGTCACGTCAATCAGAAGTACGGCTGCATCAGTCTGTTTCAGTGTTCTTGTAGTTAAGACCTAAGGTAATGGCGGTTGTGCCAAGAAGTGGGTAAATCGTGGCCTGTTTTTCCGTCTTACCACCAGGTTCCTTGAGTTTAGTTTTTTGGGCTTCCGTGTCCCTTAGTGTCCAGAATAATAATTACTCAGTGGTTCCTGCAAATGCGTGGATTAACGCTGCTGTTTCAAAAATCTACGATACGTTAGATTTCTATTCGCCGGTTGCATTTAACAGGGTAGTTCCTTTAACAAAGAAGGCAAAAAAATCAGAATCGAACCAACACGGGAATCAGTGATTGCGAAGTGATCTGACCCAAGAATAATCTCACTCGGCGCGGTCATGTTGTTATTCCTTTGGCCTCGTAGGAACTGCGTGAATGCGTCCTTCGAGGCTCCTACCGCGTGCCCTTCTACATGTCCCATGAATGTGAGATGCTGCTCAGGAAGATGCTTGTTCTCAATCCAACCAAGCGCGCTTCTCTTCTGGTAAGATTTGTTTGTTTTGTTTTTCGTTTTAAGAGGGATTCATGACCACTTCGTACTATGTCAACAAACACTTATGCATATTTAGGACTGAGTAATTATAACCAACTCCGGCTCTTGTAACGTTCGTGTGCGAACCCCGTCGAAGTGTTTGAATGAGATCGGGGAAAATTACTTGTCGTTTTCTGATAGAAGACGCTGGACAATAACTAAATCCTCGGGGGTTTTACTCGCATGGACGTATTTTTTTGCAGCAGCGAATATTCGATTTGACTAAAAGTAGTGGTTGTGACAAACTACAGATGAATTTCATATATTTTCAATAAAGCCAGTTCGTGCTCCTTGCGGGAAATCAGAGAGCTTTTGAACCACACGTATCATTTGTTATTTTAATCGGCTACACGATTGGAGACAGAAATCCAGAGGAAATTTTTTTTATTGTCCGATAGCAATGTAGCACGTAGACACGGTTGACACTGTGCGGCATGAAATATTACCTCATCTTCACTACTCCCTGAAACTTGTACCAACACTGATTTTGCCTTTTCCAAAACATACTTGTTGGGTATTTGTTTAGTTAAGACGACAGCAGTGTGTGGCTGCCCTGAGTTGGCAGACTTATTTTTCGCCAAGCAATCTGCGTAGTAGATTGAAAGGACTAAACAGTAATGGGCGGTGTCTAGGCTTTTGTGACAAATGTGTTGAGGTGTTTATCATAGAGTTGGCATAATCGTACCTTTGAACCTTAGATAGGCCAGTTCTCTCTCACCTGTTTTGTTCATTTTGGTGAGCTACTGCAAGTGGTTGAATTAACGTGGCGTAGAGATTTGCGGCAACTTTGATAAGCGTAGTCATTCTTTATACTTTGGCACTGTGTTTTGTGTTTGTAACTATTATGTTCGTCAAAATTTTAATTCCAGGATATTATGAAAGACAAGTGGCTGAATACGGCCTTTGAGGATAACACTCTGCAACCCTTTAAAGAGGACATCCCTGACTACAATGATCCTGAGAGAATACGTGAGTCGTAAATGTTTGTCTACATGCAGAGGTTCCACCTCTATGTAGCCGGCCCACATGCCAACATTTGTAATTGTGAATATTTTTTGATACTGCCGAGTTCAACCGGCCTTCTTGATCTGTCCAGGCTCTAGAAATGTTTTGGGCTTTATCGCTTCTGTTGCTCAGGTAGTAATAATTAGTTTAATAATTTGGAAACCGACTTTTATGGGTTCCAAGATATTTACAAACTACTTATTCCCATTTTTCTACTAAATCATGCCTATCTTCAGTATTGCATGTGTCACTTCACCATTTCAACAAATTGCCATTATTTTCAAGCAATTGTGACCCTATCATAAAAATGAATTCTTCACAATTATGGAGAAATGAGAACATAGTGGCCAAACACAGTTAATTTCCTTCAAATCCACCTTCATTATTTACCCACGCTGTCTCCTGGATATACCGATGTCATACAGGGGTTTTCCCTTTTTTCTGTAGAATGGATGGTACAGATGGGCTTCTCTAGAAGCGATATCCACGACTCGCTGACGAAGCAGCGGTTCAACAATATCACCGCGACGTACATCCTGCTAGGTCAACGAAGGCAGAAGTCCCTTCCCTGGCCTCCAACCCTGACGGGCAGTAGTGTCGTGCCACAGCGGAGCCTCTCGTCGGAGGTGCCGGCACCAGTGAACGGCCGCCAAAACCCTGCGACCACAGGATCCTCCCAACCGCCACAATCTCGCCAACTTACTCCCACAACCACCACCACTAATGCTGCTTCCTTCCGGCGGCCCTACCACCCTCCTCCCTCATCCTCCTCAAACACTAGTGAGTCTACAGGACGAAAATATTCCAACTTTGATGGTAAAACTGTTACTTCTGATGCATAAAAAAATAAGTGACCCTTGCCCCACCACTTCCTTAGGTAGATTTATCCTTTTCATTTTTCTACTGTGCTGAATTATCGGGTGGTATATTTAAAAACGTGTTCTTTTGTGCACAATTGTGTAGGTGCTCAGGTCAAAGTGATGTCAACTGCCTTGACCGCGCCTGGTAACATGGAAGGTGACGCAAGCTTGGCGAATGCACCGCTTGCGACGACAGACATTGACGACGTAAATAACTCTCCCGCAAACACTACCACAATTATAGGCACCTTAAAGAGGCAGCAGGCGCGTACGGAACCTCACCAACCTATCACCATTTCCCCCGTGCCCTCACCCTCTCCCGACTCCTCTACTGGCACGGTGAAGCCTTCAAGGAATCAGTCTGCACTTTCGTCAACCTCTACTGCCGTAGAATCTAGCACTACGACCGGAAGTACGGTTCAAGGTTTGTCATCTGGGCTTTGGTTTGGTGGTCATGCAAAACCCTTTTGTTTTTTTTTATTTCTTGCTCTCTCAACCTTGCGTAAAACACCTCCTCGTTTCGCGCGTCGTGCAGTCTCGAGAAGCAGAACTGTCTAGTCTGAAGATTTGTAAGGTGGTGCGACGTCAGTTTCTTTTCACTACGTTTAAATAACCTTTTGATTCTCGGCCTTGCCGAGTATAAATTGTTGATTAAAAGTAATACGCTAATAAGAAAACCAACCAAGAACTTTCTTTCATCCGTAGATTCGAGGAGCGAGCATGCAGATTCTCGTGGGGGTGCGACCTCAACCCAGACACCGAATCGGTATGTTTTTGCCCCCCGAAAATTCCCCCAATCACTCTTTCTAATTTTATCATTTCATTCTAGTGGTGCTCCTACTGTGCCCAAACGCCCATCCTTCACACACAGGAACATCAGTAAGTAGTATCTCTAGCACTTAAAATATAAATGCTCATTTCCTCAAGGGTAGCACTTGGCAATTCCCTTCTTTAACTTAGCTGCCGGTATTGAGGGTGAGTTTCACGTGCCGATTTTGGCGCCACGTGCATCAGACGCTGCTGCTCCCGGCTCCGAAACACCGCTCACTGGTCGACTGCCTCGGAGGGACGAGCCAAATTCGTCTTCGTCTGGAGCCACAGCTAACAGACCCCAGCCGTACGAACTCATAAATTCAAACATCGAGTCATCTCTCCTCCAGCAACAACAACCAAACACATCTAATGCTTCTAACGTCGCCAATCGAAAAAGTGGCAATTCCAACCAGACTGCTTTCTCCAAGACCCATTCTTCCCTTGGTTATAGGTCACTTCGGTAAGTTTTATATCGTCTACAGCCGTTGCGGTGCGTTATGAAAGGCTCCACATTCTTCCACACTGAAAAAATAGATACAGCGATAATTAAATTTAAACCAGCTAATGACAATTTTGTAAAATCAGCCAGTCGTTTCATACTTGACGCCGTCTTACGCACAAAAGCCCAGGCGTAACACCAAGCCCCGGCAGACTTGGATGCCTCGCTGCTGGCGAAGCCCTCGCCCGGCCAATTTCGTGAGGCGCGCGCCCGGACCTGCCTGTCCCGCGCCCGCCTTCCGTCGCACGTGGGAGTGTGTCCGTCCCACCAGTCGCGCCTGCTGGCGTCTCGTTGTTATTACACTCCTCTGATTGGTCGACATCGAATAAGATGTGGGGACTGCTGTCTTAGCCTGCAAACCAACTTGTTTACTTGACCTCCCAGCTATCCAGCCAGTGTTCCCGCTCGATCATTATCGGCACAAGCACCGTCTCCCTCACATTGTTAATGTCAGATTTTCTATCAGCCCTGCGTTGCACGAGTCTGTAGAATCGTTCTGTTTTGTTCCTTAAGCATCACCTTCAAGTGTTGTTAATTTATTTCTGTAGTAAAAATTACCTTCAAAAAATGAATCCATTCAAATCAGTTAGTTTAGTTCCCAGCTTCCGCTTGCTTTCATACCTGCGTAACCTTACAGCGCAACTTTTCACTGGCTTTGTAAGTGTAGAGGTATTCCACTTTCATAATCCAACATTGCCATTATTCATCCTTTCCATGCCAAGCATAATCAAGACGATAACCGATTCTAAGCAATTGCTCAGTGTTTGCTTTAAGGGTTATCCCTCACAACTTTTCTTCATTCTTGATTCTATTTTCCCAAATTTTCATCACCCGCTTTGGTTCGCGTGTTTGTGCTTTTCATTTGCATGGATTTCGGCGCATAATGTGGTTTGCCCGATAACTTCTTCGGCGTGGTGTTTTGATAGTAATTTAACTTCCCGAATATTGATGAAGTGGAGGCAGGTATTTTTATTGTGAGACCAGTCTGATTCGTTAGGAATTTCAAAATAGCCACCTACTTGGGGCTGTTTGCCAACACCAATTCAAAGTAGTGTTTGCCAAAGGTTTATTTCTATAGCTTCAGTTTGACTTTGTTTAACTTAGTGAAAATAATTATATCACAATTCAGGCGATAACATTGATTGGAAGTAGAAGGGTACTGCTAATGTGTCAGGGAATCTTTACTGGACCCTTCCCAAATGCTGCTTTTTACACAAGGCCTCTTTCAAGAGACTAGAGCATAACGTCGTTGGGTTTAATCGAATTTACTCCTCCAATTTAGACGCTCAATCCTAACTTTAACGGTTGTGGCCTATGGTTGTTTCCTCAGTTTTCCCAAATGATGCAACACTTTGAGCAATTCCGAATGAAGTGACCTCACAATGTTTGGGCAAAGTTTTTAATCTGTGCTCTTTAGAAAATTGCCACTGGAAGGGCATTTTGAAACAGTTTAGCTGTAAACGAAGCCATCAAATGGATCAGTCGCTTGTGTGGGATTACAGAATCGCAATTGTCGTTTGTGAACTTGAAGACCTGGTCATGCCTCTTCAATTTATTTCAAATTATATACATTCCCGAGAACTTGATTAATTTCAGAAATCACAGACTTTCGATTCCTTCCTGAAGTTCTTTTATGTTATTGCTATATTTCGAACATTTGGTTTCACTCGGGCTACACAAGCACTTCTCCTAGCCACGTGGAGTTTTAGCCTGATTAAGCAAACCTCCCATCCCTAGGAGTGCGTTCTGTCCGATTCATTTAAAATTTACGAGTACGTACATCTGAGACACGTATTACATGTGATTTTGGCTCCTATATTTGCCTCTGGCCGTTAGTGCTTTCTCAACGTGTACTTGAGAAGGAATGATTTTATTGGAACATTATAGAAGGGGTCTCTTGGAAGACCAAATGGAAGGTCTCGTGCCTTTAGGCACCATTTGTTTAGCGTTATGTGCTGTAATTATGTGAGCTGTTCACATGCGTAGGCGTATTTCGGTTAATCCAATGTGATCTCCCTACCTTTTTACAGCTGCATGGGAATAACTGCGCTTTTAAATCATTCATCATCTTCCTCTTTATTCCAGCCTCCCAGCAGATACCACTGCGGAGTTGAGAGCTCTAGCTAGCGGTGGTGACACGCAGTCATCGTACTACAATACATCAGGTGCCAGTTTTGCTGCGCACCACCAGCCGACTATAGCCGGTGTCTCCCCGGCACCAGTGAGCCACTCGCCCTCTGTGTCCTCGTCCACTCAGGAGGGCGAAAGTCGACATTCGACGGCAGCATCCGCTGTTAACAGCGGCTTCTACGTCCCTTTTGGACGCAATGTGCCTGGCCGATCAACCATTCAACATGTGCCTGCCTCTGAGACCCGCGATCGAATCGCCCTCGAGAGACCCGACCAGTGGTCACGTCCTCTCGTCCGGCACCCTGGAACCGCCGCCCATATGGATCAGAAAACCACCCTCGCTGACCTCTATAGCCAAACTGTGAACCAGGTTAGATCAAGGAAGATAAGTTGGCCTATCACCATGATTGTATGCCTCGAAACCAAAGGGCTTTCTTCCTTCATTGCTTAACCCCATGTCACTTGCTCTCGAATGAACTCGAACCCAATCTGTGCTGACCAAAAGTGTACCAATCGTGGTGTCATTTTTGACTAGTGTTGGATTATAATGGTTAAATTGATGTCACTCAAGGCATAAATTGCATGTAAAGGTAAATAGAACCAAAGGCAATTTTCCACCAAATGTACTTTTGACAACCTTGCGAAAGTGATCTTCATGTGCTCGGAATATTGCGGAGACAAGTTTTGTCACTAACAATGCAAAGTGTTTACTTATTTGAAGTCAAACCAACTGGTCTTACTAACCATTTAATCACATGTATGGATTTATCCTAATAATAAACTCTCAAATGACATTATTTTCAAATGCAGCACAAAGTTCGGTCCTTGTCGGAGGTCGGGCGTTACGTTATAATTCTGAAAAGTAGAAAAATTTAGTTAAGCTTGCATTCTCTCTTCTTGTGTCGCAGTCCCAAGGTCGCCGTAGCCCATCTGATCTCTCTGTGATTTCCGTAACAAGCTCCTCCGCAACTGCGAAAGCTGAGTCAAATGATGTTGCAAGCATTTCGGATTCGGCGGATGACTTTGAAGCGGACGAAATTGATGTGGATGATGACGACGAGGTGGGAGAAAATGTAAACGGGGCTGATGTTGAGTCCTCAGGTACCGCTACTGCTGGAGATGACCTCCGACGTCGTCATGGATGGGCCGTGACCGGTACCTCTAGGTCGCGCTTCAACCGTGGTGGCACACCCGTCAGTCTGCAGGAGACTTCGGCAGCAGCTAAGGCTAAGGCTAGCACCTTTTCCAAAACGGACTCCAAAAAGACCGCCGCATCCACCAGTGGAAGCAGTGGAGGCGGCGGTTTCCTGAGAAATTTATCAATGCGGTTCTCTCGCAGGTTCGGCTTACAATCTTTGCTGTTTGAAGACTACTCTAAGCACTTTTAGTCGTAATGGTCGGGATTTTCCTCAATTCCACTAAGTGTCCCGATGCTGATTATTTAAATTATTAGAGTTATTTCCCAACAATTAAATAATGGCGATCCACTCTGCTCAGTTCTGCTGAAGTGTTTTATCGTAACTCACCTCTCAGTTGCTGATCTCACTAAAGCGGTTCATAGGAAGCGTAGCGTAGGTTTAAGACTGTGGTCAATGGCACTCCTGGTTGTACGAAATTTCTCTACTTAAGCAAATCTATTAAATGGTTTTATAGCGCATTTATCCACTTGTAAAACCCTTAAAGCGTTAAGTGGTGTCAGGCGTTTTGGAACTACAAGCCATCGGTTAGGATTTGCCAAGAGTTAGTGTCGTCATCGTGTTTTAGTCAGCTTTCTTTTATAACAGAACGGTTTTGCTTCGTTCTCTGGCAAACCACTTTGATGCGCCGATTGTATTTATCAGTTATGAGGTGATTGTGATTATCAAGTGTTTTAGAATACCATTTTGGCCGAACTCCCTTTTACTGATCGATTGCAATGCCCTTCTGTTTTATCAGACTTGGATCATTTTTACTTTATTAGTACTCGTATTGGTTGATACAAGGTTGGCTATTTCAAAAACAACATATCTTCTGCTTTTACATCTGAAGACTTACCTTGGCGTGTAAAAAGGCGTGCATTTATCATTAAACCTTACGTGACGTGTACTAAAGGTCGACTAGAGCCATTGGTGAAGGGCTAGACGTGCCTGCAGAACTATCTTATCGCAGAATTCAGTTACTTGCATAATCAGGCTTTGTAGTCAATCCTTGCAGTCCTGTCGCCAAATCTCCCATGCATGCTTTCTTTCCACTTTCCTTAGCACTCTGCTTGACCGTTTCAGGTAACCATTTTGTAAATTTATTGATATATTCAGCTTGCCATAACTATAACATTGCACACCAACAATCAAAGAACAATTGTTACACGTTGGTATAAATTGACGCACTACTTCCTTCCAAAACTAAAGGATAATGAGCGATCACCGACTAATTCGCAAACACAATTGATTGGGCGCAAATTTTAAATCAATTGAATTTGCAAGTCATTTATGGTAGATATCGATCTTGTAAAAGTGTTTATCATTGTCGACCACAAGTTTAACAAATCTGCCCATTCAAGAGATTTTTTTGGAAAAGGCTATTCTGTATAGTGGATCAGAAAAACGTGGCAAGGGTTACAACAAACGCCAACATGAAAATTCCCGCCAAAATAGATTGGAAGTAATGGGATGAAATCACGAATGCAACACAAAGATTTGGCGGAGTTGGTGTCCGGTTAGGTGTCAGACAGAAGGAAGTGACGATAGTAGAAGCAAGTATGGGAGGGGGGGCTAAACAGTACAAAAAAATGAGGGGACGACTGATGCGCGTGCGTTGAATCTGGGGCAGGGAATCTGTCGGGTTGGCGGTGTTGCTAAGGCAGCGAGGACGTTGTGAGTAGGCACGTGTCATCCTGGCAGGAAGTCGACGTCCAGGCAGGCTCAGAGCTCGGTTGGTTCCGAAGGCGTTAAGCTGGTCCCAGCCACGTCCGAGGGCTCACTTAGTGGTTGTTCCTAAGATTGACACAACTAAGGCGGAGTGGTATGCTTTCCCCATCGCCTCAGTCCCGCCCTCTTCGAATCGGTTGTTTGTCCGACAGACGTGAAGGCAGTCAGGTTTGGATCTCGGGATTAAGCAAAAGAGCTAGACTGCGGTCGTTTAGCTGGGGCCCAAACATCGGTCGCGGTAGTTTAGAGAGTCGGGCGAGCAGGTGCATAAACGTGCGTGTGTCCTTGTGGAGTGTTCGAGACATCGACCGAGCGTAGATTACTGGTCGCGTTCATATGGCTGCTTCGGTGTTTTTTACGCGCTATGCTATTCTCCTCCAGGTTAATGTACTTAGCCCAGGAATACCATTAATCTGTCGTCGTTATTTATCTATTTTGAGAAGTTTGTTCTTTCGAACCATGCTGATGACATCCCACGCGGCAAAATAGCCATGCTGTTTAAATGTTTCTGCAGTCTTTATGACATTCTTGGAGAGGTTGACTCAATTGACGAAACCTAGTTGAGAACTTTTGCCTCAATTCCAGGGTTGCTGTTTCTGCTTTGTTACGTTATGCGTAAGGGGATCCCCAATTTGTGGTTTTTGGTGTCTGCACTCTTCTACTGTCGCCCAGTTTGATTTTCGACCCCGTTTTATATCGGTAATTAAAGCATTAGTTCTTTCAGGCAAAAACGTCGCTCTCCGTACGGTCGAAAATGCGTCCAGTTTTGCTGTGCCACTTGCTTGACACCAAATGCTTTACTCTAAGTGACATAGTAACAAGTTTATTTTGTGTGGGGATTCTGAACCAAAAATCTTTCTCCTTCCATGCTGATGCAAGTGCTGATCCATGCTTTTCTCCATCCCCATCCAACTCTGTTTCTTGTAGGTGAGTGGGTTCCCACCTATTTAAGTCGGGTGATCACGTCGGCATCACCGATTGTGCAGCCCTCAGTAGGGATCTTAAACCACACCGGGGCCACCAACTTGTGTGGGCCCGACCGCGCCACGTCGATACCTGGGAAGTTTAAGAAGACTGGAGATGACAGAGATGCAAATGATTATTACATGGCTCAGCACCGTTGTGCTTGTTCATTTATACGTTTCAACTGCACACAGGAGTGACGTGACAAATAAAGATTGTTGACCAATAATAGGTCGGGGTGAACTCGTAAATATGCGAATACCTGACACGGAAAGATGAGCGATGTGAGTGGCAGAATAGGTGTGCGCCGGGCGCATAATATTTCGTGCCCTCATGAGCAAAGGGGACTGCGAAAAGGAAGTGGCGTTTGAATGTGCGGTGACACAGCTGATGAACATGATTTGCCCCAATTCACTCCACTCTAGTGATTTTTTTGTCTGCACTACATGGTTTAAGGAACATATTCTATTGCAAAAATAATCGTTTAGTCCAGGAGAAAGGATCTTTCCAAATGCAAGTCGCAGCAGACAGTCATGCCATTCATTGTGTGACTTGCATGAGCACGCCTTAAATTATTGGCTCATTTCATTGGAGACAAGCCGTCTGCCAACAGGCTCTGGATGAAATTGCTTTTTGTGATAAACTTCCGCCTTCCCACACGTGAAGGTGTAAAGGCGAATTAGATTTCACGGACGTCAGATTTCTGCACAAATGGATTTTTAGGTCACATTATTTTTGTACCACACCACTCCCCCTTTTCATCACTTCGCAATTATTGCGTTGTTCCTTGCTTTATTTGTCGCGTTATTCAGCTGATCGAGTAATTGCGAAGCATGCGCCCTCTAATCAGACACCTTACTCGTGGATTTTCGCTCTGTGCTTCCTTCGTGTTGAATGTCTGCGCACACGTTTTGATTTGCCGCTTTCCTCGTCCCTTTAAGTCGCCACGTGACCTAGAACCATTTTCTTTATCATATTGGCTAGTTTTAATGTTGGAAGAAGCAAGAAAAGTTTGCTCTTGTGACTCAGAGTGAAACAAAGTTAAGAAGTTGATTGACGCTCTTCAACGTTAATGCCTCCTGGCATGTTACCAGCGTCATCCCTGATCCTAAAATCCCGATTTATAGTCCTACTTAACAACTCTTGGAAGCCAAATATGGAGGGGATTCACGAAATGTTTTAGTCAACATATCCGAGCTGTGAAGTATTTGTTCAGGATCATTTGTCCATTGTGATATTTTCGTAATTTACGGTTTGAAATACACAAATGCTACGAACCCTTTCAATGTATGAGTGTTTGAGGCGCTCAGTGAGTTACTGTAGGACCTGCTTTGCCTTTAAAGTTTTTCGCTCTCAGAATTTTTATGTCCAACTTAAAATCTATTGATTATTCACTCAAATCATTCTTTCAATATAAGTTGTCGGTATCAATATAATCCAGCATCCAAAAGAGTGGTGATGGATATCTTGCGGAGATAAATTCGCGTATATGTAGTTTTTGTGGGTCGAAATCTGTAAATTCAAGTTGTGGTTATTATATGAAAGCCTCTAGTACATGGGCTGCTGTGTACATCGAGCGACCAGTTGTTATATAACGGTTTTCACTTGTAACGTCGAATGCCTCATTTGATTTATTTATCACTCATTTTCTAGCAAGATCTTCAGGCTCCCGTTCGGTAGTGGGGGTGCCGCGCCAGCAGCATCACAAAAAGAGTCCACACCCGACTATTCAACTCTTCGAAGTCTTCGGGGAGTCCCGGGTTCGATACCCTCAGAGTCTCTTCAAACGCCATTGGCAAACCCAAAAATGGCTGCGCATCGTCTGACTACAGCATCAGGCAGTGTTATTACAAGAAGTAGAAGTACCGTGACGGGTGGACGCAACAGTTGTCGTTCAAAGTCTCCGAGCCGCAGTGTCGTGGAACAGCAACATGTGAGTCGGCGTTCAGCATTTGTTCCGGGTGCACCGACTGATCGCTCCTCCCGTGACACCACACCGACTAACGTGTATGGTCGTTCCGTATCTACCGTCAGTGCGCCTCGTAATTCATCCTCCCTCGTGGAACATTCCATCCAGTCGGGAGGCGGTGGTAGTAGTAGTGGCAACGCAAGAGTTCTTTTCCGCATGGAAAGCAATAGTCGGAGGCAGTTGGACGAAATGATGGCTGAAATCAAGCACGCTTTGTTGGCATCTGGTGTTGCTTTCAGCCAGACTGACCACCCGCACCGACTCCACTGCACGTGGGTGGTGGGTGGCACCACCCCTGAGACGGATCTGGACTCAGGTCTGCCCACGACTACAGCGGGTTCTGGCGAACTCCTGCGTCTCGAGTTGGAGGTCTGCAAACTCCCGAAAGCAGGCATGAATGGGGTTCGGTTTAAACGATTAGCGGGACCAGCGGCGGAGTTTAAGCGCGTCTCACAGAAACTGGCGGAGGATCTCAAGCTATGAGAACTTGCATTTTTTTGATATTAGCGCCGCTGAAATCTCTGCTGTGAGGACTATTTACCGCTCTTATATGTAGAACTACCAAAATCCGCTTTCGGATTTGCACACACACACATCAACGTATTATATCTTCTGCTACATCAGCGACGAGTACTTCCGTGCCTCCAATTCTTTTCGCATTTCTCTGTCTTCTTTCAGAAATTTAACTTAATGCTGTACGCAGTTTAATTTGAAGCTGGCTTTTACTGTGCGCTGCTGATGATGACGAAAATCAAGTATCTTATAAATCACTTTTTCTAATGTTCTTATGACGTAAATCGACATCGAACACGTCCTGACAAGCGGGGTTAGAAATCTGACCGTGCATGCTGACAAACGTTTAAAGGCTAGCCTCATCACTGCATTTGAGGGACATTTTATGGTGCGTATTGTAGTTCATGAATTGCGGATGCACGAAATGTCTTCGTGAATGGTTGCTAAGACACCAAACAGGCTGACGTCAAGGGTCTCTTGCTTGGCGGACACTTACTAAGCATAACTTGGGATGTCGTTTAATGAGGAACTTCCAGAATGACGTGTTAATCAGAATCTAGCTGTCTGTAGAAACTCGCGGCATTGTATAGTCACGACTTCAGACAAGGGGCTGTCACGTTAGAATGGAGGTTTCAGACAGTGAAGCGCTCCATGCCGCTTCTAATAAAATGCTTTTGCTTAGACGTGCTCGTCCACCTAAACTACCGCGACCGATGTTTGCGCTTCAGCTAAACGACCGCAGTCTAGCTCTTTTGTCTAATCCCGAGATCCAAACCTGACTGCCTCCACGTTTGTCGGACAAACAACCGATTCGAAGAGGGCGGGACTGAGGCGATGGA